ATCAAAAATAAATATGGATAAATATTGGTGACCCCTGATCTAGATCCTCAAAGAATACAGCTGAGGCTTCAGAATCATTTAAAACGACCAGGTCCTAGCTTCATGTCGATTCATATGAAAAACTAAAACCATACGGAATCTGTTTTAATGGAGCTGTTGATGGATTTTGGCGTACGGTCATAAGGCTGCATGCTTACACCACAAGGAGTAATCCCCGGGTTAGAGCTGTGTACTTTATTGATGAGCAAGAAGTTCAACACTTATCAGGTCAGACCTCGGTACAGAGAACTGTTCAGAGGAACACATGCAGATATTTTTAAGTAGTAATCATGAAGACCAGTTTTCTGAGAGATGCTTCATTACTGGCTCAACTAATCATGACCAAATATATAGAGAAGATCTCGTTATTATGATATATTTTATCATAATTATCAGATACTGATCTAGTAATTATGAGATAAGCTGTGTGATTAGTTTTTTCTTTGGTGAATGCAATACGCTTTGGTAGTAAAGCAACACCTGGAACCTAAAACGGTTTGATTTATTCTGTGAAGGATTGGAGGATTCAGGCTTACGCTCCGAGCTGCTTCCAACGTTGGAAGAAGTCCTGGGACGTCATCTCAGTGGGCTGGAAAAACTTATTTAGCATCACAGGCAGTTTGACTGTGATGTTCTGCAATGTTCCGCCGTATCTGTTCTTGCACATAAAGCAGACAGTTTAGGGAGGGAATTTTATGACATTATTGTTGCAGGAAAAAAATATGTTTTATGAATGATAAAAAACAATCCAGAAATAAAACTTTGAAAAACATATAAACAAAAAGTTTTGTAGAAATACTTTTTTTATTTTATTTTTTTTTTTAGATTTAATGTGAAAATTTTTTTTTCCCTGATTTCTATTTTTCCTCATATTCAATTTTTTTTTCTATTTGAATTCTATTCAAGCTGCGTTATTCAGTCACATTCTCTTCTTTTCAAACCCCAAAACAAACACAGCAGTAAAACTGTTGTTGACAACATCCAGCAGACCAATAGAAATGTGTCTTTGGCCCCCAGTCCACAGGAAGCCCCGCCTCCAGAGGTGCAGAGAATGTGATCTGGAAAACCCAATTTGAAATAATGCAATTCGTAAAAATCTCATAAAACAAAAATAGGGGGGGGAAATAACATTACAAAAACCATGAAGTAATTTGATAAAGTAAGATTTAAAATTGTTCTAAAAACGCAAAATTTGAGAAAACATCAAAGTTACTCTCAGAAACTTTTTTTTAATTAAGACGGGCTTTATACAGGAAAGATTAACTCTAATTTAATGTCTTTAATGCTGTTAGAAATCATTTTAACAATACTAATTAATTTCAACAAGTACCCATGACTCTCAAATAAACAGGGCAAAATGTTTCGCCATCTTTACCGTCGACAGGTTGCAGCCATATCTCCATTTCCTTGTTTTCCAGCCAGTTTTTTTTTTTTATTATTTGCTTTTTTCCCCCCATTCTCCAGCTTTTTCTCCACCTCAGGTTCTTTTCCAGGCATATGGCTTTACGATCAACCGGAAGCAGTTCCGAACCAATATATCGCGTATATTACGTATATCTGACGAAATTGTTTTTATAAACTTTTTTTTTCTTTTTTAAATAAAGCATTTTAAATGCTATGACGGAGTATTTGGGCCAGGTTAGAGATTTTCATTTTATTTTTTATCTTGAGAGCAAAGTCTTAACATTACGAGAAAAAAGTCATAACATTACGACAAAAAAGTCGTAATATTACGAGAATGAAGTCATCATACAACCCGTTTCAGAAAGAAGAATTGAGCTCCGCCCAGCATATTATGGCCGACCAGCTCCACCAATCAACAACCTGAGTTCACTTTGACATTATGCCAAATTTGATTTTCTTATTTGTTAAACCGATGCCAAAGTATAACTTCACATGATGCTCGGCATTCATCATTTTAGGGAAGAAAGTGCTTCTTGCAAGCGTGTTCATAAAATACAACTTGTTTCTCGTAATTTTACGACTATATTCTCATAATGTTGCAACTTTATTTTCAGAATAGAACAAAAAACAACTCTCTAGTCTGGTCCTATAAATGCAGAGATAATCACATTGAAAGAATTTTAATGCCAATTAAGGCCTCCGTTTTAAACAAAAAAAACATTGAATGACTTTTAATGATTTTTAATGACCCACGGAAACCCTGAGTTTCCAGGTTTTATTTCTGGATTCCCTTTTCTTTTTTTTTAAATTTCTGTTGACAAAAAATAAAATAAAAAATTCTTTCATTGCAACATTAAATTCACAAAACTCCAGATGTTTTGCACGTAGGTGATAGACAGGAAAACCAAGCGTTAAAAAAATCCCAGATGAACTTTATCACTAACCTGAACTGAATGTTGAGCACAGGAGCCTCTGAGAAATCCGACACACACTCAATGTTCAGGATCTGCTGGAGCTGAGCTCCGGCCTCGATGAGCGGATCCACAGGCTTCACCTGAACGTTCAGCTGTGGAGCTGCTGGTCAAGGATTCTACCCACTGTCACACAGAGACCCGCTGCATTCCTCTCCATCCCATCCATCCATCTGGATTGAACTGGAGCTGGGATTGCCAGGATCCTCGCAACTGACTGATTGATTTTGTTATTAAATATCGTTGATGTGGTTTAGATATCTATTGATCTTCTGATGAACATGAGTGGCCGTGGTGTACCAGCGCATTTATTAATATTTGTGAGCAATTAATGATTATTATGGAGAAAAGAAAAACATGAAAACACTAAATAAACCTTAAAGTCAATTGATACTGAACTGTGAATAAATGAACTGATATCTTTCTCCTTCCAGGTTTAACCCAAACTAATCAGTTTTTGGTTAAAGAGCAGAGCGGTGATTAATCTGTTAGGAGATTTGCTGAAATGAGTACAGACCATAATACACCGAATACGATTTTGCATCCGATTCAACAGGAAATTGTGTCTGACGAGGTCGTAGCGTTTAGCGCTCATTGAAAGTCAACGGGGACGATCACAACCGACACGATTTTCTGCGAGAGAGCTTTCCTTAGGTCAGACTGAGACAGAGCCCAGGTCTATTTTAGTCGGACTACGCAGCAATTCAGCAGCAATTCATGGGTCTGACTGGAAGAGAGACGGATTACAAAGTAAAACGCATCCGCTTTGGGGGAAAATACGAAATAAAAACTGTTATTCGCACGGGGGAAACAGTCAATTTTAAAGTCACATGGAGTCTCTTGCAAAAACAATCAATAAAACTGCAGCTAACGATTATTTTTCAAATCAATTAATCCGTCAATTATTTTTGAGATGCTACACAGACTCGTTAAAGCTACAGTGTGTAATTTCCAGCGACATCTAACGTCCAGACTGCAGACCGCAGCAACATGAACACCTCCCCCCCACCGCTTCTCCCCCCCAACAGTACGGCGAGCGTTACGGGACAAAATGTCTTCCACGACGTCCGCATCACCTACCTTCTCAAGTGATGAGGTTTGTTTACATAGATAATTTTACAGATAGTATTTCATTAGTCTGTGTAGGGTATAGATTTCATGTAGACTTAAGATAATAAATATACCCGTTATTTTTTCTACATCGTTGTGACGTTTTGGTGAGCTGCTTTACATGGTGATATAAACAATTGTAGTCATTAGTTTAACAGCGAGATTGTGTTCGCTGGAAGAATATATATTCCCCGTTTACAGAGTCCAAGTCTTGTTTGTGGCACGGGGGTTACAAGGCGAGGAAAAGGGAGAGGAAGAGGGCGAGGAAGAGGGCAGAGAGGCCGGGGTGGGCGTGCAGCCAGGGAGAGGTGCCAGCGGGGTGACTAGAGCAGAGGAGGAAAGGCTTGAAGATCTCCAAAGGAGCCGGAGAGAAGTAACCGAGGTATATATCCAGAAAATTATTTTACAGAAAATTACTGAATCATTACCTGTGAAACGTCAGGGACGTTGCTGAATAAGTATACTGGAGAGTAACAGCATCATCACGCAGCATGTTATTGTAATGGGCGATCTCGCAATCGCTAGTTTGTTGGCTCTGCGCTGCTGTAGCGCAAAGATGTCTGCCTCCATGGCTGCGAGACCCGCTCCTATGTAATTATAAATAACGAATTCTAAGGCAACCCAAATATTAAGGTTAAGAGGCTGAGCTCGTAGATGATGATAAATAACATAGTTATGTATAATATATTACATTTCTGACTGTATATCCCTGTAATTATTACACACTGTAGCTTTAAGTGGGGCTTGGCTGTATAGCTACACTGTGGGGTTTTTATTGATTATCGTTTATTTCTTTTTAATAACTTTTCATAATCAGTCAAATGCGGGGATTTTTTTTCTATTTGTGTATAAAACAGAGACAAAAGTGAAAAGAATCTGCACAGATCTGCTCACCCTGCCTAGTCAGAGCCTCTATATGTAGTCAACCTGACATGGAAAAAAATCGGATCGGAGATTAAAAACCTTTGTGTTCAAGGCTTAAAACTGGACGAGGAAGGCATCATTAATTGGGAGGACGGGAAAAAAAAAAACAGCTTCAGACTCTGCGAATGCGTCCAAATAATCGTGATCTTTGTTCTTCTTCTTTGCTCCACCCCCTTTATCTCTTTCCTTTTAGCATTTTGTCTAACTTTGCCTTTTTCTTCTGTTCTTTTTTCGTTTTGAACAGCTCATATCTACACTACCTCAGCGCGAGTCCTGCAACTTCAAGATGCATCTCTACTTTGATGGGTCGAACAATAGAATCACCGAATTATATTCACGCTTCAGTATGCAGCTCAGGCCTTCACAGACGGTGCGTGAGCCTGAATGAACCCTGCAGCCGTTTATGCTAAATGCTGCTGCTGTGTTCTCTAAAAACACAGGGGGCAGCAAGCAGGTTAATATGATCCACATCGGTGTCATTTCGCTGATTTAAAGACTGCAACAGCTAAACACTGAAAGAATGGGCTGTGGAGAAGCCTGGAATTACAATCAAAGGGGAAAACATTTAAAAAACTGAAACTGAATGGAAACAAATGCCGACACTGCAGACGATTAATGAACCGTCGTCAGAGAGAGAGCGAGCAGTAATCAAAGAGGTGGACAGGAAGCTTATTTATTACATATCTGCATAAGCTTGTATGGTCTTCCCAGGCAGGGAAGAAGCTGTGAGGCAGATGAGAGGATATGAGTGCTGAGGAGGTCATTACTGGTCACCGACGTGGAGAAGCTTAGGAACTGTGTGGACGTCTTGTTGCCATAGAAAACATAAATACGACCTGCAGGAAGACAGGAAGTAAACCACCTCCTTATCCCATCCAACCATATTCCAATCTTTATACCGACTCAGATTTTAAACAGGTTTAAAAATATTCATCCTAAAAAATATAACATAACTGTATATAAGTCATACTTGCAGAGGCTCACCGAGGTTCTGACGGTACTCAGACTTCAGTCCAATCTGCAGAAGCTGGTTCTCATAGATGACACCGTTGTTTTTACACACAAACCTGCAATGTCAAAGTTAACAGTTAATGTTTATAACTGTTTATAACTGTAAAGTGCCTTGAGATGACATCTGTTGTCAATTGGCGCTATAGAAATAAACTGAACTGAATTGAACAGACTAGGATAACTGGACTAGGATTCTTGCAGCCATTAATTAACGATTAACAAATACTTATAAAAATAGTTAGGGTGTTATAGGTGGACAGTAAATTATCCAATTTCTTCCTGTGGATCCCCAGCTCCTCGCACGCTGTTAGCGACCGTTAAATTTACCAGCTGAACCTTTCCTGGTTGAATACGTCAGTCTCCGCTCCTAACAGCCCACCCATGCTTTCATCATCATCACAGCCTTACCTGGTAAAATGCTCATCTGACCCCTCAGTGGGAGCAGGATTAGAGAGGTCAGTGAAGACGTCCACCAGCAGACTGGCTCCTGATGAAGGGGTGGAGTTTAGATTCAGTGCGTCGTTAAAGCCGAGGCTGGGACTCTGCAGGAGGAACATCATCAGATCACAGTTTTGCACAGATTGGGTAAATCGCCTGCATTCTTAAGGGCTGGTTATCGTCCCAGCAGCAGTGTGTCGCAGTGAGCTTGTTGCAGATATTGATATTGATTTATGCTCGTTATTGAACCTATTGTTACCTATAAACTACTTGCTAATTAGGCTACAAAGGTTTATGGTTTTATTGTGAGAAACTGGAACAAAGTTCTAAAGGCATGACATGTTGCAAAGCGCTGGAACCCTTGCATCCAGGGTTCAGGGGTCACCCTTAAGGCGCCAGCCTTAAAGCCAACCTTCTATATCTCTGTAAAGGTTGTTTTCAATCATGTAAAGAACTTGGTCCCTCTCCTCCATATCTCCTCTCTAAAGTTGTTTCTCATGCATGCAGGAAGATGCAAATGAGGTCTTCCAGCAGGAAATTAGACGTCTGATGGACAGAAAGCAAAAACAGGAGAAGAACTACAGACTGAGAAGCATAGAGAAAACAAGATAATGGTGGAAATCAAGGAGTCCAGTGATGCTCAGGAGGGCATCTAGAATAAGTAGGGTTGGAAATTGATACGATTTTTACGATTCGATTCCTTATCGATTCTCTTATTAATTCTCATCACAGTCATCTAAATGTAATGGAGAAGGCATCCGTTTAATGAAAAAGCATTACTGTAAAATGAACTCATCTCCCCCTGATTTAAATAAAAGAGCATCACCTTTCTCTCTCGCTCCCTGAACTGCAGAGTAACTTCGTAGCACGTTTCGTTACATCCATTACAACAGCTGGAATCATGTAAGAATTCCAGCTAGCAGTAGTTCTAATTAAACATCCAAGCATGAAGGGCTGGATTAATGAGAAAGGCACACTTCCTTAATAACCCCAAAGAGAGGTAGGAGATTGGTTTATTTCCAGAAATAGCATATGATTAACTAGAAACCGCATTAAGCACAGCCAGTGATATAAAACTAGCTACTTACCACCAGAGTTGCCTTCCATGCTGGTCGGAAGCATCAAAAACACGGCATTTGTTAAAAAGTATGCCATGTTGTGTGCGCAGGTGTTTCTACATGTTGGATGTGGATGTAATTGCAACTTTGCGGTGATTCCAAATCACCTTGTTATCATCTTTTTTTTCCTTAAAATGAAGCCAAAGTTTTGATTGCTTTACCCAATGGGACGCCATTTTTTTTTGTTTTGCTTTTCTAGACTTTCGCCCGCTTGCTGAATGCTGTGTGCGTAACTCGTAGAAAACGTGACCTAAGTCATGCTTCCCTGAGCCCTTGGCTCTGGTGCTGCCTGGAATCGATAAGAGAATTGTTAAAGGGACACTATGCAACATTTTTCAGTTAATTAATGTGTTCCATAACGTTATGGATGA